AGTTTGAATCTTAACTCAAAAGAGCTTTATTCGTTTTTATACTTGAAAGTGTAGAAGTCTGAAATTTTGCCTGAATACTGTATACATCAGTGTCTATAATCAGCTCATCTCTTTGCTTCACAAAGATTTTGTAAAAATAAAATTTCTTCTTGTGTATTAGGATGTTTGACATTGCAAAACCGAGCACAACAGACAAATCTATAAAGAACTAAATAATTCCCCATTCAGGAGAGTTTTGATAATGTTTAGTAAGTAAAATGTGAAGCTAGTTTTTGAACAGGGAGATTAAAATGAAATAGCCTTATCTTGTCTCATGCAGATGCCCTGCTGAAAATAATTATGATGAAATCATGATACTTCCATGTCAAAGGAAAAATAAGAGTTGCACACATAACATTGATCTGATATTTCCTAAATGTTGTGTTTCACTTCAATGTCCTAATTTTGCTTGGCTATATTTGAATGAAGAATTTATTTTTAAAGTTCTGATTTTGAGGGTCGCACCATTCAAGAAAAATAGTTTCCATTTTTAGTAGTAATGTGCAAATTTTGTTGTTTTAGTGCTGCATTGAAATTGGCTGTTGTGGTATCAAGACATAAAAATATGAAAATAGTTGAAATTTCATTTAAAAGTAAAATACTTGGAATAGAAATGAAACCTTTTTAAAAGTCAGCCTTATTAGTATACATTAAGGGCTAGAGAGGTACTTAGGGACAAGAATTTCTATACATCACTTATGTATTTTTAGTCCATCTGATTGACAGCAGCTTACAAATCTGGCGGAGATGGAATGGACTATAGGATTAAAAAGTCTTAATGCTGGTCAGATAGGATATAACTCAGGCATATACTTATAAGGGTGATTCAACAGTCAAATTACTGGGGTATGAGATTGTATGAAAATAGACAAGTAAATCCCATTTCTGTGGCAAACAACAAGGACAACAGGAATCTCTTTCTCTTGTATCTCTTTGGAAAGAAAATTTATTCTCTCTGCCTTTGTTTAGACTATCTACTCCTAAAGCTGGAGAATATTTCCAAGATATTTGGGGATTGTTTAAGATTTTAATTCAAACAAAAGATCTTGCTCACAGCTAATAATACAAGTAGTAGAACTTTTGACTTTCCCAAGTGCAGTGTTGCTAGAGATTTCTTTTGTCTTACAAATCCCAATTGGATTCTGTTAGCACAGGTTAGAAATATCTGTTGGAGGTCATGCACAAATTATTTGGCAATATTTTTTGTGTCTTGATTTAATAAGTGCTTTAGCTCACACAAGATGTGTATCTTCTCCATATTTGGGTATTATAATTAATATTCCTTCTCTGAACAAAACCAGTATGATCTTGAATAAGCCCTGAACTGCCCTTAAAATACCGCAGAAACCTGCAGTCTTTCCAGTGTTACTCATATAGCATATCTCTATGCTGTCCCATACTCTTAAGAACACAAAATCCAGCTCATTTTTTTCCTCATACAAATGTAAGCGTTTCATTAAAATTCCCATGATGAAATAAAACCCACTTCTTTTCTCTTTGCCTCTTTTTATTCTCAACTATCAGCCTACGCTGCCAGTTTGTAGTAGCAAGTTTGCTTTCCCATTAGCTTTCTGACCAACAATTTACTATTTTATCTCCTTTTTTGCTGCATGTCATAGTTCTTCCTGTTTTCTCTTTCAGTGAGGTGTTCAGTTAGCAAGTTTAGTTGATGTGTAAGAGTTTGTTTGAACCCTCTTCTAGTGGTAAACTTATTGATTTTATATCTTCAGGACAAGGTCAATTTCCATTGGGAGACAATGACTTAAGGCATCTTATTTGCATCCCAGAAAACTGCCCTTTGCCTTTTCATTTCATTTTGTTCCAAATATTGGATGATATCTTTTTATATATATATACTGCTTCTGTAAAAGGAACCAATTAAGTGGTAAAAATCTGCTCCTAAAATGATTTTGACTTCAAATGATTTTATGCTTATTTCTTCCCACTGACTCCAAATGAGTAATTCTGTGTGTAGAATACTACATTATTCATATTGAAATTTTGTTGAGATGAATCCCACCAACAGTGCTGCTCCTTTTTAAAAATGTGTTTATGTGTAATGTCTGCTGCTGTCAAATTCCTTGAACTCACTTTCCTTTCCCTTTCAGAGGTGTTCTTGGGACAAGAAAAAAATATTCTGTAGTTTTGAACTGACTTCAGTTATAATTCTGATGGCCAAACCTTGCCCATTTATCTTAGTGTAAAAGTGCTGTTTGAATAGGAATGCATTCCTGAAATAGGAAGATTGCATCTTGTAATAGGATTTAGTCCTCAAATAGTTTGTTAAATGTTTTGTGAAGTACACAATTCCAGATATACTTTTCCTTGAAATTTCTTTAACAATCTCATTTTTACTTTCCATATTAATTTAATGAAAGCAATAGTCTCTGTTCTTCAGATTAGATTTACATTTTTTTAATTAAACCAACCAATGTATTGCATTACCTTTTTCAATTTGCTCCTAGTTTAACCTTATGTATATTGCTTAGAATAACAGGCCAAAATCAGTTTTTACAGAGTTATTACACCATCTTGAGACATTGTTATTCATAGTTTAGTTTTATTTTACGTATTTCTTTACAGATACTGATTAATGCACTCTTAGGGGGGGAAAGTATTTTAGGCAAGAAACACTATGCAAACCCCTACAGTTATAAAACACAGAATCATGTTTGGAAGGGACCTTTGAGATCGAGTCCAACCACACAAAAAACAAACAAACAAACAAAAAAACCAAACCACCATAAACCACAAAGCAGACTGTGTGTGACTTGAAATCTAGTTAAAGCAGGCAGGTATTTGAGAAACCATTCTTGTGCACAGAGTGTAATGTCCAGAACTCAGATCACGTAATTACTAATAAATCACAAGTAGAATAAAGCAGCAGCAGCATCACACTTTCCCACATCACACAGACCAAATTGTCTTCATAAAACTGCTGAAGTTTCAAGGAGATACTGTGTGAGTTATGCGCTTTCTCTCTGACAGTAAGTTGTAGTGGGTGCAATACCTCGTAAACGTCCTGCCTGGTGTTTATGAGACAGGTAGAGGAAGAGAGTTCTTAAATTGTTAATGGCTGCTGTGCTTTGCGTACCCTGCTTCCTTCATTACAGCTTGGCCAACTCATCCCCTTTGCTGTACCTTAGTCCCCTGTGTCTGTATGTACGTTTGGGTTTCTGCTGGTGGTTCCACATTCTGCATGCTGTCCTAAAAGCGGAGCAATGTGCTCTCCCATAACTGGCAAAGATTATGGGTCAGCCTCCCGCCGGCTCTGCCTTCCTGAGAAATGGGCTCTTTCCATTGGTGATAACTCATGTTTTGATGTCATTGTTCTGAATTGTTCTTCATGTTGTAAAATTGAGTGGAAATGTACTCCCATAAGAGTTAGCTTTTCATATTGGGCTGGAAACTCTTCATCTCTGTGTAGCGATTTGTTTTATTATAACCAATGGCTTTTAATTGTACCTCCCATAATGAAGAGCTGACTTAATACTCTGTGCTAATCTTGTTATGACTTTAAAAAGGTAAGTAATTTCTCTAACCGTTCCTAACAGTCATGGTAAAGTGTTAAAGGGTTTTTCAATTTTCTTTTTGTCTTTATTTTTCACATGAATTTTTCTCTTGGAGCATGAACTATTCTTTGTGTCTTTTTCTATTTTTCTTGTAAAAAAAATTTTTGTGGACTGATTTTTATTTGCAGCAAAACATATCATATAGATATAAATAAATCCAATTTAGTACAGTCATTTGTTTCATTTTTCAGACCAGTCACGATTGATAGTTAGAAATTGGCAGCAGGACTCTTTATTTTACCATTCCCGTAATTTATTTTTGAGTACTTTATTTCACATTATATTTACTGCTTCAGCTTACGGGAGAAAGCTTACTCTGCATTCCAGCGGGATGAAATTGTATCGTAAAGAACATAAAGTCCACCTTGCATAAAAAACAGAGTAATGTGAATTGAATGCTTTGGGTTTGGTTACATTCTGCCTGAACTATGCAGGGGAATGGTACTGGCTGGTAGCCCACTGTGTCTTCTGCCAAGGTACATTGTGAGCCAAGAGGCTGTAGAATGGACAAACAATAAATCTATGCTTTCCCTGTGAAAGGAGAGACAGACATAGGTTGTTATTTCTGTAACGACCTGTGAATGAGAAGAATTATAGTCAGAGAAGATTTAATCACTAAAGAACTAATCACTGTCCCCACTCAGTCATGGTACTATACGCATCGTAATATGGATTCTTTACTTAGCAGTAGCTGTGAAAAGAATAGAGGTTTTTCATAAACATCACATATAACAAAGTAGTAAAACATTAATATGACAAACAGTGAATATGATAAAAGGCACTTAAAGCACATGACACATTTATACTAAGTTCCATTGCTGCTAAAACTGTATGTGTTAGAAAACTGGTGGGTTTTATTCAAAATCATATTATACCGCACTTTTGTTTAAAAATAACATTTAGGATATCAATGTGCAATTCATATTAAACAAAGAGAAGTATTATGTAATAATTAATTTTGATGTCAGCTATGTTAAAACATGGTTTGTATTCTGCAGCTGTGAGCATAGGTTGGGAAAAGATCAAGCCTAGCTGATCAAGCCTTTTATTTTATTATCATGGATTCCTCTTCCACAGCTGCTTTTAAAATTTGTGGGAAGCAAATTATTTCTCATACTGCATATGTTGCCCATCAGGTGAGTGATAATATGGAAACTGTAGGCTGGGTGTAAGAAATCAAAAAGTAACTTTAAAGTCCTCTGTGTGCACAGAATTAAAAAATTGACCTGTGAGAGGCTGTGTGTGACGCCAGCTGTCTTTTGTTACCATTGTCATTTGGACGCTGTAAGAGCAAAACTTTGTCAGCACGTTTTTTATATTAGAAGATTTGATCTGCAAATCTCAGCTGCTCTGTTCATTATAAATCTCTTGTTTTTGTCCATACACTAGCTCCACTATAGGTTGGAAGGGCTTAAAGATGAACTGAGGAGGAATAGAGGCTACAACTCGAGAGTAACTATTACTGCTCAAAGGAGCTGTTTTCCATTCGCAAACATTGCTTTGCGCTATGGGTTTGGGCTCCTTCTGTTCCTCCACTTTGTTGAAGACTCTCTCTTGACTTCCATTTTACTTCTTTAGCACTGTCTTTGTCTGCTAACATTTTTCCTCCTTCTCTAGTAGCTTTTATCTGTGTCCTTTGGATCACATATTTTACTTAGTTTGTTTTAGTAGATTGTTTCAGATGTTTGTGTTCTGTATTTTTGGTTTTTTGCCTTTTTCTTTAGGACTGTGTTATCTCACTGAGTTTCATTCCACAGTTTGCTGAATTGCTTGGTTATTTTGCAGCAGGCCCATTCCTCGTTTTCTCTTTTCATACGGTTTTCAGTGAGAAATAAGAGAGCCTCTTCCATTTAAACAGTAGTCTTACACACATAGGCCCATGTCTCCTTTTGCACACACCATCTTCTGCCTTGCCACGTCCATCCTGCTTCTCTCTTTCTCTCTCAATCTGTGCCTCTCTCTCTTTTGTGCTTTCTTTCCTACCATTATACCATATTTTTGGTCCAGAATTGTCCTTTGGTAAATTATAGGTAAATATTTACTTATTCCAAAGAGAGTTCCTGTCAAGCCTTTGAAATCTGGTAAAACAACTCTGGGCCAAATTCGGGCATCATTAATATTTTGTTTGCAGATTTCTTGTATAGTACTTTTGGTGGGAAGGAGGGAGGGTTTGGGGTTTTTCTGTTTGTTTTTTTTAAACAACTTTTTTTTCAGGGAAGGACACCATAACCCACTCTAAGTTGCAACATTACTTTCCATAAGTTATTCCATTACTATAAGTAGACTGTGTTGCGCTGTAGAATTCAATTTTTTTATGTGAATATACATTTGGGGCAAGCTGCTGTGGAACAGAAGAAAGAGGTTTAGAAGTTGGGGCACAGTTGTTTTCAGCTTTAAATGGTTGTTCTTTCTGAAGACAGGTTTAATGTGTATTATTCTTCATCAATTGTTAGATCATACATATTCACTTTCTATGCAATTTTTCTGTGACTGCAAATTGAAACTGTAGTCTGAAAGATAATCTGGATTCATTCTACCTTTTCAGCAGAGATTAATGTTCCACAGGGAATTTATGCCCTCAGTGTCACCTGTGCTATTCCACGTCTTTCACCACGTGTACACAGTTTTACCTTATTAGTTCTCTCGCTGAAATTTAGCAATACATCTGTCACTAAAGTTAAAAAGAGAAGAATTCCATTCATACTCTCTGAGGTTTGTCTTCCTGTGAAGTTTACTTTAGCTGGCGTTTTGTCCACACAAAAAATTTTTATTCAAGTGTTACCAGTTCAGTCAGAACTGCCAGAAGACAGTCTGACTCCTTTTCAAATTATTTCACCTAAAAACTTATAGCTTCAGTGTTACGAGATGATGGGCTGCCTTTTCAAACCTGTGAAGAATTAACAAGAGCTGATGCTTCAGTATAAATAAAGTTTAAACTGTGTTGTGTTTACAGGACTGATACTCTTCAGAAAAACAATTCTTTTTTTAAATCTACACGGTAAACAGATGGAACTCTAAATACCCAGTGTTACTAGAATATTAGACCAGAGCGAATCCTCCAGTTTCCCTGGGGTCAGACTAATACATCTGGAATAATACAGTGGCAGCTAAGCATTTAGGAAGAGGATTTGTTGAGAAACCAGTTGTCATTCTCACACAGTTTTTGAAGTAGAATTTCAATGTAAAATTCATACCGAACACAGCATTTCTTTTAACCAAACAGAAACAACTGAGTAAATTTATCTGGCTCTAGCCAGGAGCTGTTTGTATAATTGTGAGTTGCTTACACAATTGCAAAGAAGTCTTATTATTAAATATCTTCAGAATCAACACAATCTAAATTTAGTACTTTAAACTCTTTCTGTAATACCTGAAAATATCAATAGTAGAATTTTAAAGCAAGTCATGATAATATAGTTATGTTAGTATTTTTTCTAATCATAAAACAGGACCTAGATTCAGAGTAACTATAATTACAGTTATATAAGAAAATGTGGGTTTTCTGTTTAAAAAGTGGAGTTTAACATGTGATTTTAACCACTGTGTTCTTTGATTTTACTCTATTACTGTCCTTAGGCCATCTTGTTTCTTATTGGGGAGGTATGGAATCAAATTGCTTGTATTAGATTCTGACCATCAGCTACTACCCTTCTACTTAAATATATTTACCTCATGTAGAGTATGTAAAAATATTGCTGAAAACATGTAAAGCCTCTGTCTTAGATCCCAGGAGCTTGCCCATTATATCTCTGTATTTTGCATTCTTGTTAACTTCTGTAGCTCACAGACTCTGTGCTCTCTCTGCAGGTCCAGTCTAGGTGCAGCAGCAAGGAGAACATCCTCAGAGCAAGTAAGTACTGAAACTTCATAGCTCTATTGAGAAAATAAGACTGCTCAGAAGACAACAAGCAATAGTTTGCTATCTAGAAGAGAAGGATACAGTTGGGACTTCAGTGGGTTTGCAGAAGAAATTTAATAACTGAAGACAATGAAATTCAGTCCAAAGAGAAAATCAAAGTGTAAATAGCTCATAGTGTTCATGTATTAATGTATAGTTGACTACTAATTTTTTCTTCCAAGTTGTTCTTCTAATGACATGTAGGTTGTGTTGTCTATGGTGATGCATTGTTGGAAATAATCGTATGTGTGCAAGTTTTATGGGCAAAAAGAATCAATACTTGAAGGTGATGAAAATGGAAATTCTCATGTTGAATATGTATGATTTTTGTTTTCATACCTGAACGTGAAATTGAATGTTGGGGTACATCAAACCAAACGAAAATATGCAAAGGTTAAGAATTCAGATTTAATCCAAATGACCTGTTCTTTAATTTGCACAATGCCTTTCCTTTGTTTTATGTCAGTCTTTCCTAGTCTTCAGATTTTAATTTGATCCACCATATGTGTATATATATATGTAACAACAGGAACAGGAAGTTGTTTTGGTGATAAGAGAGAAGGCTGTCAGGAATTTTCTTCCCTCTGCTTCAAAGATAGAGGATTATTTTATCATACAAAATTTTGCTTAATGTAAATAGTTATTTTTAGAGCCACCTGACATTTGACGTTAGTGAAAGACAACTTGGGAAGGTCTGAGGAGTTGTTTAATGTCATTTACTTGTAATTTAAAAGTACCACTTAGTAATTCTAGAATTAAAAAAAAAACATTATTAGTTTGTCTCCAGATTTGTTTAAATATATGATACCTCCAAAAGAGAAAAAGTACCACTTAGTAATGCTAGAATTAAAAAAAAACCCCATTATTAGTTTGTCTCCAGGTTTGTTTAAATATATGATACCTCCAAAAGAGTTAGCATCTGTTTGTAGGAAGAAATAGGGAGAGAGAAGTGTTAGTAGTTACACATGCATCTTTCTTCCTTTATTCATTGAGTTTATTCATGCTAGTATTAAAGCTGAAGGAGCTCTTATTTTTGAGTATGGATTTTCTTGGCTTCTCTTGCAGAATAATGGGGGTTGCTTTTGGTGTTGGAACAAAGTTGTCAGAGATTAGGGGATTTTATCTATTTTCAAAAAACTGTGTTGACAAACACATTTCTCAGTAGATTTTAACAGAACCTTTCACTTAAGCAAATGACATGTAGTGGACACAGATTTCCAAATCTGAAGATCTGGGAGTCTGAGCACCATTCAAAGCCTCTGAATTCATTCACATTTTAAGGGTTGAAGAGGTGAAATACTGGTTTCTGAAGTAGCTAACAGTTGAGTTTTAGGTTGCAGTAAAACAAACATAAAAGCGTCTAACAGCTCTAGCATTGGCTACAGCATAAAGGTTGTTTGCTGCCACAGAGTTCCCCCACCTTTCACTCTTCTGACATATTTTTCCCTAGCATCTTCATTTTTTTCCAACCTTTCCTTTTAAGAGTTCTGACATATTTTTCCCTAGCATCTTCCTTCATTTTTTTCCAACCTTTCCTTTTAAGATAATAGTTTCTTATTTTATACAATCAGGAAAAAGTCTTTAACATATATTGTATGGAATCTGCTGGACCTGTGGGAATTATGGTGCTACTAAACAGGGTTTCTTTCTCTCTGCAGAGAAGGTATGGGAAGTTTGAATGTGTCTTACAAATGCTTTCCTTTCCTTTTCTCGTTTTTATGAGGTTGCTAACAAAATGCAGACATAATAATGGCAAATTAAGCTTGCTAGGGACATCCCTGTTGTTAAATCCAGGAGTAGCAGTTTTTCCACTTTTATCTTACAATAATTTAATTTGGAACATTTCTCCCTAGTTTGCTTAGGAGAAAGTCATGTTTAAGAGAGTTAAAAGTCTTATTTTAGTTAAAATATATCTCATCAGCTGTTTCTCTGTTCCTCAGGATGCCAACTGCTATGTTAAGGAAACGAATTAAGTCAGTTAGAAATTATTTGTGCTTGACTAGTTCACAGTGCCTGCTTCTATCATCATGTTATCTTCTCAATATGTGCAAAGAGATTGTTCAAATAATTTCTTCCAGAATCTTTCTTTGGACTGGAATTAGGTGGGCGGTTCTATTTGTCTCTACTTCTTCCTCTTAAAGATAGTTACTGTGTTAACAGCAAAAAATCAATTAATGAACAGCCTCCCACATAGAGAGACAAGTGTCAGTGCAGAAAGAAGTTTTGTATACACAGGTTGTTTAAGCGACTTTCTCTTCTGAAGGAAAAACATAGGTTGCATGACTGTTTTACTGTTTTTGTAGTTGTTCTTTATTAGAAGACTACAATTAAAGTGATAATCTATTTGTTTCCAGACTGTGAGGGGATGCACATTCTGGGTAGCTATTGCAGAGGAAAATCATATCATTAAAAATTATTTCCTATGATTTTTTAATGCTATCTTACTACTTACTTATGTTGCTTTAGGAATATTGTTACATCTTACATAGAAAACATCATCCACTCTAACTCTCATAAATACCTCCTTCTTCTAGGCGAATCTGTTCAAGTTATTTCTACAAATGTCATATTTAATCTTTGGGTTTGTATCTGTTACTCTTGCTTATGTATTCCTGCAATAGTTCCCTCTCTTCAGTTGCTTATCTTCACTTTCAAAGTCCTTCAAAGCTTGTTGTCCCTTTGTTTTCTCTCTCAGTACATATCACAAAATCAAACATACTGCTGGCTTCATTTTCAAATTATTTTTCTCATATTTTCTCCCAATTAGTACCTCATACTTGGGAAAAGTAAGTTTCCATTAATCTAATCAAATTATGCATTTTAATATCAATTTGGTGTGGTGACTGAAAAATCTTGACAGTGGGTAGGATGCCCACAGGCTGGACACACTGTCTGCTGACCTGACTGTCCAGTGATTTCATTGTGCTTCCCTCTGTCCCCCTTCCCGACCTCTGGACTCCCATCTCACTCTCAGTTTGCAAACTCACTGCGACAGTGTCCGGTTTTATGTTTTATCTGTGCACTGCGCGAAGCACATTGAGATGTGGTTGTGGAGAACAGAACGAAGAGCGAATCGTCCTAAGTTCATCGTTCACAGAACTGAGTTACCCTCAGATTATCATCCTCACAGTAAAATACTGCATCATCTTGTAGGATTTCTGTTTCTGGTTAATGGATCCTTTTATGCTCATCAAAACTTCTGGTCTGTTTTTCATGACAAGTTAAGGATATGCCCTTTTGTGAACTTTTTCAACTGTAAATTGCATTTTGTTTTAAATCTGTCTTTTCATTCTAGTTGAATACAGTGTCTTCCCAGTGTCTAACATAAATGCTCAAAAGTGGTAACTGATTTAACTTGCCCCAAAGTGCCATCTGCACATTGTAGCATTCGTAAACTTGGTGCTTTCTCATTGCAGGTCACAGTGCTGTTGACATCACCAAGGTAGCAAGAAGACACCGCATGTCTCCATTCCCATTGACATCTATGGACAAGGCCTTCATCACAGTTCTGGAGATGACCCCAGTGCTTGGAACAGAAATCATCAATTACAGAGGTATTTGATGTTGGATTCTTTTTCAGGATTAGAGTAATTATTTTGGTATTTTACAACCTTAAGCACTTGCTCTTTTATTAATGTTATGAGGTGTCTGAGTACCTTCTCCAGGAGAAACTGCTTTAGGAAGGCACTTGCTCTTTTATTAATGTTGAAAGGTGTCTGAGACCGTACCTTCTCCAGGAGAAACTGCTTTAGGAAATGCCAGTAATAGGAGCAGAACTCTCCTTTCAGAGTCAGGAGAATGTCACTTGAGCTCAGTGCTGCTCCTGAAGGAATCTGTAATGGAACTCTAATTGAAAATATAAATGAATTTTCTTATGATCTGTGTTATATGCAACAAAGCTAGAACTTACAAACCACAGTTTGCCTCAGTGGTTAATTTAACACAGGACTTTTGTAGATGCCAAGTACCTCCAAGTTGTACTGTGACTGTTTACTCTCTTCTCTTACTGTGGGAGTTTCTCACTAAACCCTCTTTCCAATCTGAGATTAATGATCAAACCAAAGTGATTATTGATTCCAGGTTACTTTTTTCAATGTCTGCATCTTTAAGAGTTTGTCTTAGTCTGTTTTCCCAGATCCTGCTCAGCCTACGAGTCATTCCAGAATTTGCCCCCTCTTCTCATAAATGCTGTCAGTTAAATGTCTTTGCTAAGACATCCCTTTGTACCACACTGTTAGGTACATTTAGTCCATAGAGATGCTCTGTGTACAACACTGAACTCCTGAAATAAAGGATAAAACTCTGGCATGTACCTCCCTGAAAAATAAGCACAGCATATGTTTATTTTGGTATATAAGGTACTGTTAAGGTACTGTAGCGTTATTGTTACTTTTTAGAATGTATAGATCATTTAGCCTCTTTCATATTAAATAAAAAAAAAAGGAAAGTCCTACAACCTTTTACAGAAGTGTCGTAAACCAAAGGCATGTGAAGCATCTTTCCCACCTGCCATCATCAATATCTGGAATGAAGCCCCCAATTAGCCTTCTGTTCCAGCTAAATGCAGTTACCTAAACATTGCTCAGTGGGTATGTAAGATTAAGTTTTTAGACAGCATGATAATGATAATTCTCTGAAACTAAGTGGAGGCAGAACTTTAATTGTTACTAAAAGTATGCAGAGTAGTCAATCTACACTTCATGAGCTTAAGCCTCAGAACAGATCGTTTCTTCTGATCTAGTCCAAGAGCTCTGTAGAGATTGGACATTTTTTTCCACTGCTTATTCATTTTGAACTAGCTAATTATTTTGATAGCATCAAAATAATTCGTAGCACAGTGAAGTGCCACCAGGGCAATATTTTCAAAATGGGAGCAAATCCATCGCCTCTAGTACAATACCTGTCTCACATCCCAGTGCCAATATCCTGAGAAATCAAAATTCTTCACAGAACTGTACCAGTTTCACCAGCTCAGCCTTAGAAAATAGCCATATTTGAAAAGTGAGTTTAATGTAATTCTCCACTTTATGTTAGAATGAGAAAGCTATGGGTATCACAAGGGGCAGATTGATGACATTAAAATATTTCAGAACATCTTTTTTGAATTACAGTTAATCAAACAGTGCATTTCTAAAATAATTGCTCAAATAAGGGAGAGTACAGAGGTACTTCAGATTGTCCTTTGGTTGCTGACTTGCTTCATTTTAAATGCCTAAGGCTCCAGCAAATAATTCTTACATTTTTCTCCCCTTAATGAAATTCATTCCCGCTACTGGCTGGCCGTATATTCCCTTCAGATATCGCATGGCAGAATGCCAGGAACATACTGTTCAACTTCGCTCTAATTGGTGTGATTTTGCATGCAGACAAGAAGTAAAATGAAGACACAACACGCCTGCTAAAATTAGAAGCATCGCTTTTGTATGAGATTTTGTGCGTCTATGAACAGAGGGTGTTTTTACTAGGCCTTTGATAGCTGCTTTTTCTATGCTATAATTTAAATGTCTGTGTCTGCAGTGTTTTTTTCAGTGCAAGTGTACAAGCTTTCATGAGCTTCCTAATAACTTCTATATTGTGTATCACAGCGAGTGATGCACAGACGAAAATACCCATCACAAAGGTGCTTTTCGAGTTGCTTTAACAGGTTTTATCAGTATTTTCATGGCAATGCCTATTTCAGAAGTACAACATAAATATTCATCTCAGGCTGAAATTTTATACATATGGATGTGAGCACAATGATATTATAGTTATTATAATTAATTACTAACTAAATCACTTTGTGTTAATAAGTAATATATAATCTCAATTATAATACCACTTCACTGGAGCTGAACATTTTCAAATCAAGCAGGTGCACTTTTTAACAAAACTCATTGATTTAGTGTGCATCGTTAGGTCTTCTGCCTTCCCAGCAAATCCAGAACCACATCGATTTCCCTATCTGTAAAACAAGAAACACGCTTTGGCACATCTGAAAGATCACAATCTATAAAGTGCATATCCATGCACATTCTCCTGGCAGAAGCAGTCACGCATCCTCTCATTCCTTCAGACTCCAGCTGGATATTGCCTTTCTGTGCCACAACGCACCCCTAGGAGCGGTGGCCTCTATTAGGAGATGAGCTCCCCTTTTCCTGACACACACTGGAATCAATCCGATCTCAGTAGCTCTGACCCACGTGCTCCTTCCCAGTCCATCTAATCACACGTGTGATAAATCATCTTTCTCACTCTGCCCCTGTATGAAGGATAAGATACATATTTTCCACTCTGTTCCACATCATACTAAAAACCAAACTTTTGCTGGCACCATAAAAGCAAACCAGTAGCACTCACTTGAGTGAGGGTGAAGTAATTCATACCAGGCTCTACAGGGAGGCCGAGCCAAATTTCAGCTCATCAGTCATAGTTGCTAAGTGAAGGGAAAGAGAATGTTTGAAGCAGCTATTAAAATATTTAGAACTATAACAGCGTAAATTTACATAAATAATCCTGACACTTATGTGCACTCACCCTCCATTAAGCAGAAATGCTCTCAGCAATTAGGCAAAGCTAATCTATTGCAAAACTTCTCTAGCCCTCTAGGCTCAATCCATCACCTCTCACCTTTTGCACACTTCTGAAATGTTATTTTAAACGTTTTTTAAAAAAGAATTTTTATTAATTGAAATACAGGAAAGCATGTATTTTTAAAGAGATTTCAGGAGATAAACAAATCTTTCATCACTACTTTCAGACTCCAATCTTTTTTCATTTATGTAGAGGCAGAAAACAAAAATCTGAGAGATCTATTCATGCCACATACACATACACCTCATCCATCAGAGCACACTGCTGTTCACTTCTTTTTACCTTTCACAGCTGTAATGACATGGAGCTTTGTATTTTTTCTCTTTTCTAGACGGAATGGGCCGAGTCCTTGCTCAAGATGTATATGCAAAAGATAATCTACCACCATTTCCAGCATCAGTAAAAGACGGCTACGCTGTCAGAGGTAAACACTCCCTTTGTAGACATGCAGTATAGTATCTGTAAAACCACTTTAGAACCTGTTAGTTCACCTATTTTGGATCCGATAATGTTTATTTTGGTTGAGATTTGATTCAGATCATTGCTGAAGTCACAGTTATGTAGAATGCGGCTGTCTTGAAGGAAGATCATAAAGTTTAATTCAGGTCTTTTAACTGGATACATATGTACATGAGCGAATGTACATCCATGTGTGCTCATGGACACGCACCTGTGTTGCTACTGAGTTTCTTGGAAACATAAAGAGTTCAAGAGAGTAGCAAAACATCTGCTGCTGAATGACAGAAATTCTATTCCTCTGTTGTTGATTTAATCAGGAATTTCTTTACATATCTGTTACTTTGTTGAATTGTTACAGATCCAGCATCCTATTTGTGAATTATTTTATGATTCCATTAATGAATTTCCAAAAATACATAGCAGAATGTACTCTTGTGGACGCACCTCAAAAGAAAAACTCATTTTTATTTTGAAAATATTGCAGTTGCTGTATATAAATGAGTAGCATGACTTCATGGAGCAAGCAGTGAGTGGTTTTGCAGGAGACCTGAATCCATCCTCTACTTTGCCACTAGGTGCTGCGTGATTTTGAGCAAGTTGCTTCTCCATGCATCAGTTTTTCCCTTTGTAAAGACTAATCATATTCACGTCAGATATCTATGGAGGAAAATTAAAATATATGTGATTGAATATTATGCTAGTAGTGATTTAATTGTGGTAAGGGTTGAATCATCGTAACACTGTTGAAACTTGGACACAATAGCCAATTTTCTTCTAGGGACATTAAAATATCTTTTTTGTTACTGGCAGCTGAAACAATGGAAAGCAACTGTCCATGAAATAGACTGTCTGCAAACCCAGGCAATGGATGTAGTCCAATAGTTTTCTCATGGATTTGATATAAAAATAAACTTCCAGGTCTACAAGAGGAGCTTCACTGCAGCTGCCTGTCATCTATGCGTGCGAGAGGCAGGCAGACCAAAATGACCAGCAGTAGCAGCAAGGGAGTGTAGGTGTAGCCAGAGAAATAGAGGTAATGTAAGCTGAGAAAAGCTGAGAGGGGGAGCTCTGAGTAAAATGCTGACTGACGGGGGCCTTGGGATAAGCACGTGCTGTCTTGCAACCTGGGTGCTACAAGGTAAGGGAAAGCACAAGTGCAATATCAGTAAACACACAGAATGAACAGAATGATCATGAATGCTGTCTTCAACAATTTCTGTTGGAATCAACACACAGGACTCTAATTTTGGTGGTGGATTCAAATAGAGTAACAGTAAGGTGCTTGAGGTGGGCAGAGGAGAGCAACAAGGCTGGTGAAAATGCTGGAAGGAATCTCCTTTACGGAGTAGCTAAGGACTTTGGGCTTGTCTAGTTTGGAGAAAAGGAGGCTGAGGGGTGACCTTATTGCTGAGGAGGGGAAGACGAGAGGGAGTTCTCTCTGAGCTCTTCTCCCTGGTATCCAGTGATAGGACACGTGGGAATGGTTCAGAGTTGCACCAGGTTAGGAAGCATTTCTTTACTGAGAGGATCATCAAACACTGGAAAAAGTTTCCTAAAGAGGTGGTTGATGTCCTAAGCCTCTTGGTGTTTAAGAGGCATTTGCTTAATAATTTGCTTTAACTTTTGAGTCAGCCCAGAAGTGGTCAGGCTGTTGGACTAGATAATTGTTGTAGGTCCCTTCCAACTCAAATAGTCTATTCCTTTCTGTTCTGTTCTATTCTGTTCCATTCCGTTCCATTCTAATTATTTTTGTAAACCTGTTATCTCAGGATATGAGAAACAAAGCATGTAGGCAGAGATTATATTGGCTACATTAGCAGACACTTTTTACAAAAATATAAAGGATTAGCTTTCAGTCACATACACATGTCTGCCCAAAACCTTGTCCACCTTTTTCAAGCTATATCAGTTGTACATCTCCAGAACCTTTGTCTTCATATCATTATTAATGGGAGAATAAAATCTAATTCCGTGGGATTTTATCAGGTTTAAAATAATTTAGCCATTGGGGATTTTTTTCTGCTCTTTTGCATTTTTTTTTCAGTGAAGGACTAACTGTGTTCAGTAGTATTATATGCGTTATTCAAAGACAAGTAGTTGAAAAGTCCTTTTCCACTTTCTTATTTTAGAGTTTATTCTTAAGATCATGGATGATGCTGTTGGATTGACTTTTAAAGTTAAGTTAATCATTGATCTTCAAACATGACTAAGTACCATAGATCATCATCTGCTGAGTTGCAGCTGATGTATGAGTACAAATGTGATAAATCATTATAGAGACTGAATGGGCATCCTTCCTGAAAGCAGTTCTCAGTATGATGAGGTTATCTAGCTGTATATTCAGAATTTTTGAAATAAAACAGACGGTATTAAGATAAAGATTGTCACTGATCAGACTTCATTCCTGGGAAATCAGCTTTTGATAGTTACAAGTTTAAAAATATAAAAAGACATATTTAAATGTGACCGTATGACCGCAGTTTGTCTGAGTGCTCTGGACAGCATGCCTGGGGGGCTGGGACAGGCAGAGTTGTTTGCCCTCCATACATGCTTTACACCATGGTAGAGCCTATAGTAGTGCAACTTGCCAGAAGACCTTTGAGGCAGGCAGAAGCTTAAACTTTGTTAGTAATTGTGCTTTTGCTGTCTCTGTAAAAATACAGATTTGGTTAAATGACAAGTCCTGGAGACTTTGAGTTTGTTAAATCCATGATCTCTGACTTTTAACTTTCAGAATGGCTCCAGTGAAACGTATAAGGTAACTAGTTCAGTATTACCTCCTAAAATTACAAAAAGGAACAGAACCCAGACTTTTAAGGTGGCCGTCCAAACTGCATTATCGCAGCCTTAGTGCTCTTCAGAAAATGTCAAACCAGTATGGTCATCTAGGCAGTCTGTAACCACTGCACTTGTCCACATTTGCCTCCAAAGGCAGAGACAGAGTCTAGAAATGTCAATATTCCATTGGTGTCTAGTAAAAAGGTACATAATACACTTACAAAATATGTGATTCTCCTGTGTTATTTTCATGTAGAAAAAGATTTGCTCATGGTGAACATTTTTATAAAAATAATCTCATGAACACTCTTAAATCTTTGTTATTAACATAATTCCTCCTAATCTTCTGCTTGCTCCCATATTGCCCAAAAATTTTCAGTTAAAAGTACTATAGAACCTGTAGTTTTCAAAATAATAAACACAACTTAAAGGGACCTAAAATGTAAAATGCTTGCAGAACTTCTGTAACGTTTGTTGCGTTGACACTGAAAAACTGAATCTTAGATCATTCTTTGGTTCTCCTGTTCTTAATTTCTAATGCCATCATTTGTTTTGGTTCAGCCTTTACCATTTGTATTGTCTACCTTAACAGCTGCTGATGGCCCAGGAGATCGATTCATCATAGGGGAATCCCAGGCTGGTGAGCAGGTGAGCACAATTTATTTTCTCTTTCTTTTTTTTAATGTATTTTTGGTAAGATAGTGCTTTGTATTTTTGCAAGCCTTTCCAGTGCTCCAGAACGGAATATTCTTGGTGGTGTGAAGTAGGGCACAGCTGTACCTGCTCTCCCGCTGTGTGCCGTGGGGACATGATTCCAGAAAGTGAGGTCGTGCGGTTACATAAGGAACTAACAAGGATTTCCCAAAATACTTCAGAGCGTCGTGCTGACGTGTCCAATAGGATGCATACAGTAATGTCTGCCCTAGAATAATGTCAGAGGACTTAAGCTTCTACTGGCATTACAATTCATAAACAGAGAAAAGCAAGATTTAACCCATTCTTGCTGACAGATTTTTAAAAGGGACGTCAGCCCAGTAACAGTTTCCATAAGCTGCTGGAACTACACTGGTACCTGCAAAACAAAGTGTAAGAATTTTGTATGAAGCCTTTAAAGGTAGGCAATGATCGGAACAATCTTGAGGAAGCCTGGCAGCAGCCTGGTTTGCAGTATTGCTCCTTTTCTGTTTGTTACATCAAACCAGTGTTTTATAGCAGATAACTGGATTGTGTTTAAGAGCAAGTTGGGGCAGCACCGATTCATGACCTGCTGTGCTGTATAAATATTAATGAATGGACACTATTTGGGATTTCCTCTTAAACTCAGGAGTACATTTGATAAAGTTCCTCTATGGTATGGGAAATGATGCAGAGATGGAATAAGTAGCTGGGAAAACAAAGGATTGATCGGTTTTAATGAAGATTTTCTAGTGTGGCCATTTTGACTGCTAAACAAAAAAGTCTCAAATAAAATAGATGCATTTCAAAAGTTGTTTCAGGTTTTAGAAGTATTACGAGTTGCAGGATTGTTCCATTTTTTAAAAAAATGGAGTTGAATTGCCTCCAAACGTATAATAGACATTTAATTTGGCTAACTATGATAGATACAGACAACTAGGAAAATAATTTTTGCAGTAGTTCTCATCCATAATCATGAATTGTATTTTGGTACAATAGACATCTCAATACTGATATTCACATGAACTTAGATCAATGACTCTGTTACACAAAATATGTAAAACTAATTAAAATACTAAAGGAAGTAAACTAATGTATTTCACCTGCCTCCGATTTTTAGCCCTTCTGTCTGCATTTTCAAGTATTAGTCCAGAATCCAAAAGACTGACAACTATTTCTACATCCCATTTTATGGTCCCTATAAAATAGCAAGAACCAACAGAGCAGCCTGCTGAATTATCACTCCTATCATTATTCACCTGGCATCAATATTATTGTTTTGCAAATTAAAAAATCCTACAGGACAGCGATGCTTAAAACCAGCACTGTTGAAGCTGTGTCTAATGGGCAGGACTGCCCACAGGTCCAAAGGGTTTCAGTGTCCTAATCGGTTCAGCAGGTTTGTACAAAGGATAAAAGGGCAAGTGGGACCTTGCTTCCCTCCTACGAAATACAAGAGCTCACAAATGTCTCTCTGCAGGGACAGTCTGTCCTCCCAGATTAATGGGAATGGGAAACCTCTCTGGCAAGGAAGAAAAATTGGGTGGGAGGAGGCACGCAGTGAGAGAGTAATTCTGGAAATACCAGCGGCGAGTTAGAAAAATGAGGCTGTTGACCTCTGAATAATTGGTCAAAGTTTTTTTCTCAGGCCAACATATCTTCAGGTTCATCTCCTTCCCAAGAAATTATTTATAGCCTTGGAAGGCTCCTCAGTCTCATTTCACCCTTCAGTCACTCTCAGCAGCAACATTCTGCTCTTCATGTTACAGACCAATTAACAGAATGATTCACAGCAGGGAGTTCAAAATAAGTTTAGATTTGGCTCCTCCTGTAGGGAAAAAGGTTATGTAAATGCTACGTAGAGAGGAAGAAAATGGGACTGAGAATTGCAGAGAGACCATGTAGCCAAGCTGGACATTTCTGTATCAATTTGTCAATTGTGTTTTATTTTCTGATTTTCATTTCCCAATGGTCGTGTTTATGTTAACAACCATTTTTTATTTTGTATTGAGGAAAACTTTCAGACATGATCCTGCTTTGGAGAGGTGAAGTCACATTTGGGAGTAATGGTCCTGAGCCACCCGCATGGCCTCTGCATGAAAAGCTCAGCCATGGGGAGCAATGATTTTCTTCCTATAGACTTGCATAGCTGGAGGTTAGCGTTTCCTGGAAGACTTTCTAAAGGCGTTTCTAAGAGGCGCTGTGACTAACCACATGTAATATAGGATGGAAAACAGACATTTTTCACTTTTCCATTAACTTGGGCCTTTTTACAGAAAGGAGCGTGGGTCATTTTAAGTCACACAGGAGAGGTGTAATCATGTGAAAGAGAAAATACCAGAGATGGGGGCTGTGCTCAGTAGATTATTTCAGGTTTTTGTTCAGTGGCTAACATTAGATAGATTATCAGTGATGGAGGCAAAGGACAGAACCCAGTACTGCCCTATTCCAGGTAAGCGTGAGATCTCAAAGGCCTTTAAAAGAGCTTCTGTGAAATCATTGTACGTTAATATGCTTTCTGAGAAGGAATCATTTCTTTATCTTCATAGTCTGTAGCGCAGAAGAACACAGCCCTGGAGATTCACACACAAATCTAGTGGTTGACTTTTGTTCATAAAGTTAATCCGATCAGATTCTCAAAGGACAAAATGGAAGTTAAATAGATGAGCAATCAATTCTAAAAGCAATTGTTATTGTATCATAAATTTGTTCAAATGTTTCACATCATTACACCTCAAAAAATTAACTCATCTAGTAATAAACTCCAAAAGCATGGATAGTTACAGTGCATTTTATCACCGTAGGTACTGATTTCTGCCATATTCCCAGACTTTTTATATTTTTTGTGGTTCATTTTAAATGACAGAATTTTTTTATGCAATCCATTTCTCCTAAAAATTGTCATTAAAGACATAAATACTTTAGTGAGTTCAGAACAATATTACCTATTTGTGATGCACCTATAGACTATATCTACAACAATATGCAAAAGAGTTCACATAATCCAACGCACAAGCTTTGCCTTTTGCAATATTTGTTTTCACAAAAATAAAAATAACAGACAAGATTATTTTCACTTTTAAGCATCTTCAGTATAAATGGCAGCATCTCAGCTATTCATCCACAGCTCCTTGCACAGTCTGTGATGAGAAATAAATACCATTTTGTAAAAAAAGAATTATTTTTATGTCATCTGGTTTAGATACCTAATTTAGGATAATATGGATCTTGTCCCAGAAACACACTAACCACGACATACGGCAAGTGTGATCTGCTTTTTTTAATTTATTTTGGCATTTTATTTATGTTCTTCTCAAAGGAAGTTACATTTCTGTTACCCTTATTAAAGGGTCAGGATTCAATCGACTCCAGGTTCAGTTGTTTGGGATACGTAGGTCACTGGGATACGGTGGTAAATCGTTTTCAGCCTCTTTTGTGGGACTTCTGTCCCAATGAGCAACCTTTGAAATACACACATTTCAAAGGAATACTCGTATTTCAGAGGTGGTGACAGTGCTGAAATAGAGCAGAAGAGCAGGCAAGGCAAGCACAGCTCTGCGCAGCTGGAACGTTGGCCGCTGGTCTGGAATTTGCAGATGTGGAAGAGCCTCCTGACAAAAGTCAGGGAGTGAGAGGCGGCCGGGCGGGAGCACCCGTAGTGCTTGGGCCGTGCTGCTGCGGGTCACGGTCAGGTACCTGCCAACCACAGGCTGAGAAGTCCTGCACGTACTCCAGTGCTGCACGTGGAATATAGAGCCAATCTGCACATGAATTACACATGTGACCTACAGAATATGTTGGTCTGTTCACAGCTGTGTGGATCTGTGTGGAGCACGTGCAGCCTAAATAAGTTGGCCTTACTGAAATGCTGCGGGCAGCAAGCACTCCTGTTCCAGCAATGAAATCTCAATCATCACACAAGCTTCTTTTAATTGCCTTTTTCAGAAAGATTTTTCTTTTAGTTATTTATTTCTTAAGTGGTTATGGTCAAATTACAATTTTACTCTGGATTTTGAAAAATGTGTATTAATAGGCTGCCTGGTGAGAAATTTTATTAAAACAGTTGTCATTTGTTTCATCATGTTGTTCTGATGTTTTTCTATTCTTTGTATTACTTCTGCTGAAACTTTGTAATGTACTGTGACTTTACAGAATTGTAGAAAATTATCAATTTTAGGCTTTGCTAAACTGACCCTCACAAAGATAGAGAAACTAGCTTTGAGCTGTCTGTCACTGTGAGGAAATCTGCTTAAAAATGAAGCAGCTGGTTACATTACTTCACTGACAAGGTCCTGGTTTTCCATATATAGCGGGCTGTTAAAACACAATAAAAATCCAACCAAAGCAAAGAAATTTTTTACTCTGGGAACCAGAGTACTCTGCAGCAATATTTATGTACAGAGAACTAATACATTTTTGCTCATGTAAGATTCTAGAAGGTCACTGCTATGTTTCTAAGCCAGTTATTTTTCTGAGCCAACCCAAGTGTCAGTGTATTGCTCTTCCTGAAAGTTATTCTTGTGATAGAAACCTAAGGGGAAAAATCTGAAGCCACCCAAAGTGACCATATAAAAAAGCCAGATCTGAAGCAAGGACCTAATGCTTTTTAAGTACATTGGAGTTTAGACCTGTTGGTATCACTAGCAGCCTATCAAGAGCCACGCCACAGATAGGAATTTTTGCCTGTCAGATTACTTCCATAAATTTCAAATGGGTTGAGATTTTTCTTTTCTAGTAGATTTATTTTTGTTTGTTTCTTTTTCAGCCGACTCAGACTGTGATGCCTGGTCAGGTAATGCGCGTTACAACCGGTGCTCCAATTCCATGTGGTGCTGATGCAGTGGTGCAAGTGGAAGATACAGAGCTCATCAGGGAATCGGATGATGTGAGTCACAAGTTAAAACTCATTTTTCTTTTGTGTGCAGCAGAAAATGGCTCACGACACAATCCTGTAAATATGAAAGATAGTCCTACAGAAAAGCTTCTGTTGTCTCAGAAGTTTGAGAATTTTTTGCATCAGTTCCTAGTGGCAATTCTAACCGCTTTTTCAGGCTGTGATAATAGTACCACAGGCCTACGTGTCCTGACATTGATTTTTCATCACAGTTGTTGAATGCTGACACCAAACTATTTGGGAGCGTGATTGAGTGTGAAAGGCAAACGTCTCCTGAAGATCCATAACTACAGTCCAATTTCAGTGCCTAGAGTATTGACATTTTTAAAATACAGAGTAGTGGCAATCAGACATTGTATTTCCTTCTTTTCTACCGAGTTCACATTTAGCAGTAGAGCAATCTTCTTCATGTTTCAGGATCATCCTGAAACTCAGCAAGAGGAGGACTTTAAAAGTTCTCCTAAACTCACCAAGAAGGGGTGAGGTTTTCTTAAAATACAGTGATCCCAGAATAATACATAGAAATATTGTAGTCCAACATTATTGCTGATGTAATTAAAGCTGAATATGATTTTCTGTGGGAAAGTAAACAGTTGCAAGTGCTGCAGAATCCATGGAATGACTTGGATTATGCTCTGAAGATGGCTCTGTATTATCAGAGCTATCTCCTTTCAGCAAAGGCGAATTTGGTGGATTTTGGAGAATATGCAGTAAATGCATGTTTAGAATAAGGGATTTATTATGTAACAGGGGAAGTGCTCCCCTAGATTTTTTAAACCACGACTAAGTTTCTTCAATAGACCTCTGTGCTCCTTTAAAATGAGAAGATTACTGAATTTAAGACCTCTGAAAGCCAGGAAATGGATAAGATGCACATTCCCCCAGAACATAGTCTTAACTCTATTTAATTTGAACAGATTTTTCAGCATACCTATAAATCATATTAGCACCCTGCCGAACAGATGCTGCCAAACACCACAGGAAAAATGAGTACTGTAGTACTAATTCTATATTCACAATTAACAAAGCAATATGTGGTTTTTGATGAAGCACAGGAGCTGTCTGTAGTCAATTGTATTCCAAGGAGTCTATCTTAGACTTCCTAAATATTGTTCTCTCTTCGTGTTCAGAGAATTCCTTCTGAATTATTACCTTCACTTACCCAGCTGTGATTTCAGGCCGCCATCATCATGTTTGCCATCATCTGACAGATTTTAAGGCAGAAGATACATCTCTTATTGACATAACTTCCAAGTTCAGTTTTGGAATGAAGTGTTTACATGGTTGTCTGCTCAAATTAGCCTTTGCTCCTCTGCCGCTGTTCTGACAAGCTGTTCCACTTCCCCATAGCTCTGTGCTAGCATTGCCACTGCAGCTGGGGGGTAAGCAGATGAATTCTAGTGTTCAAAGCTGACGAAGACAGCAAAAACAGAAACATACTCTAGTGATCCTTTCTCATGCCTTATTATTGTAAATGCACAGATTTTTACATCTGATGAAGTCAGCAAGCTGTGTAGGCTGGCCTTCTTCCTAACAGCATTTGTTGAGTCAGTCCTGCTTTGAGGTTACAGACGTGTACGTGTATATTACATGTTCCCTTAAAATTCACCATTGCCTTCACTGTAGTTAATCATTCCATTAGCCTTATGAGTAAATTTTCTGTGGCCATTGCTCACCTCATTATGACAGGGCTATCGCATTGCAGAGCAACATACATGATAGCCTGGTTTTTTCTACTTCCATTTTGCCTGTCTTCCTGGATTCCACTTTTTCTGTGCGTGTTCTCCTCTGCATGTGAGAACAGATTATTTGGTTATGTGCTTAAACTCTGAATTTTTTAGCAAGTGGTCAGCCACCTTCAGTTCCCTTTTCCTGCCTATATGTGCGAGGTAGAACTCTTCAGTTTCTACTTGTCCTTGAATATGCCACTCTGCTAGTCCTGTACATAAATAATTAGTATAGTTTAATTAATATGTTATTTTTCTCTCCTCTTTCATGCCCGGGTGGCTATGTATTTCAAGAATATTTTTCTTCTTAATGTTAAGAATTCATTCAAGGCTGGGATTCCACTGAAATGAAATCTCTAACATCTGAAATATGTTCTTCTGAAAAGACAGAGAGTACTTTTAAAAGGAGCTTCTTGACCTCTAGTTGTGGTAGCAGTACTTCAATATCATAGCAAGCATTCCCCAAATGACTGTAGTTGTCACAGGCCTGAAAGAAATCACGTCTATCCAGCAGGAAGAAAAATTCTCATCAGCTTGCCAAATGCCCAGTCATTGGAGGACTGATGCTTCCAAAAACATGTCTACACCCTTTTCATTTTGAGTTTTTATGTCACCTTGTAGGAAAAAGGATGTGATCATGCAAAACAAGAGTTAGATCCTACATCAAGACCAAGCATCAGTGTATCAGTATGGATGCTGGCTGTTACAACCAGAGTAATCCACTCAGACATAGTTCAAAATATAAACAGCTAGAAGAATGATGCCTGATACACACCAAACAGAAAATGTTCTTGGCATAATGCCATACCTCCCTGCAAGCCCCACCTCTAGCACCTTAAATTATCATGTATTCCTAAAGTGTGCTGGGATATCCATCGATTCCATAAATAACGATCTCTGCACATCACCATGCTGTCCACAGTCACAATTTCCACAGTGCTTTTCAAACCAGGGATTACCAAATTCCTCAAAAGCTTTTTTCCTCGTTTCCCCTAATCCAGGACTCCTAAATAGGACCTTTTCTATTACTCAGATGTACCATTTGCACTCCTCTTGATTCCCTAGAAACTTCCCAGCTATCTCTAGATGTTATCAAATATGTGGAAAATTAAAATCTTCATGAGTGGCCAACCATCCCCAGAGTGTCATCAAAATAAAATCATTCTTAGACTAACTGTGGCCCCAGATTTTCATCACAAGGCTAAGGTGTCTTTTACAGCTTCAGATGGGGATAAGGGAGATAAAAGGACATCCTGGGCACCAGCACAGCCAATTCGGACACCAGCAGCCAAAAATAGTCTCTCCTTTTATATAAGAGGAGCAGGTATAAAAGAAACAGAATTTGCATTAACAGCATATTTTGAAAATACTGGAATAAAGTAAGAAATTAGTTTTTTCAGGGTTGATGTTTTTGTTCTTCATTACCTGCTTTTCAAGGGTTTAAATTTATCCATTTTCACAGGTCAACTGGATCACAATCTGTAACAACATGTTCTTTAAGTTTTGGGCCTTTAGGTTAAAGTACTTAGTTTGAACTCAGAAAACGTGGTCCATATGGCCTTTAAGAAAAGAGACATGTTCCAGTGTTCTATACAGCACTATAATTCATGTAAAAATTCCAAATTACAACGACATGCCTTGATTGCCTTCTAATATTAGTGTCCCTTTTATAACTTTGAGGTACCTAAAAGTATGAAGCACCACATGATAACATAAAAGCAAGATCTGTTCCAGTGTAGATTTAGTGGTACTGACAGACTGGCACTATCTCAAAGCTGAGTGTATGTATCATCAACCCACTTGCAGGGCTTATAAATTTAATATTAACAATATAGGCCATTTATTGACATTGAATCACCAAACCATTGAGATTCTGAAAAAGTAAACACAAATACTAAAATAGGCATCGGACTTTTCAGGCAACTGTCTCTTGTTGACAGTAAGGAAACATGGTGAATAATCCTCTTTCGGAGTTGTACAGAGCTCTCAAGTAGGAGTTTCCACTACCAGAATCACCATGAAAATCCTGAAAGAGTGTACAGCTTCTTCCCACCTTTCTGTGGATGTAGTGGCATATTGTCTGTCAGACTAATGCTCTTTCTGAAATGCCATCTTTGAAATTGTTCAAGCAGATCAAGTTGGCTGAGAGGAGCAGGAAGAATCCACTCAGTACCCAGATCAACAGACAAACACAGGACGTAGCATAGGACAGATATAGAAACAGGGATCATAAAAAAAAGGAAGGTAAGGCTATGGATTCAGTGCTTGTCCTTCCCTCATGAGCTCATCAAAGACAGAATTTCTTATAAAGCTGTTCAGTTTTAGCACACGTTGTGTTACATTCTTGACACACAGATCAGGAGAACAATGATGATGCTTAAACCCTGATGTCTCAGTGTAATCAGCACTGTAGGCCATGAAGAGTTCTGAGAAATTAAAACTGATTAATCTTTTTTGAATAGCCCAGCTGACCATATTTAATCTCCTTGTTTTTGTAGGGCACTGAAGAACTAGAGGTTCGAATCCTGGTGCAGGCTCGACCAGGCCAAGATATCAGGTGTGTAAACAGCCTACTTTATAAACAGTAAAGTATCTCTGTAAGGAGTAGAAGAGCTGGTGATTTTTTTATAGTCATTGACCATAAGTAGTACTGACATTTTGACAATCTGAACATCCCTGGACACTGCTTACCTGAAGTGGGACCAATCAAGGAGAGATTCTTTCAATCTCATTTTGTTTTCATTTCGTTTTCTTTCTGTGCTACAATTTTCAGACCTATAGGACACGACATTAAAAGAGGTGAATGTGTGCTGGCTAAAGGAACCCACATGGGTCCATCTGAGATTGGTCTCTTAGCAACTGTTGGAGTAACTGAAGTAGAAGTTAACAAGTTTCCAGTGGTTGCAGTCATGTCAACAGGGAATGAGGTAAGAAAACTAGGTTTAGAATCAAGCTTTGAATTACTGTATCTTCTTCAGGACAGGTACAGTGTTTTGGATAGTGACTTCCACCACATTCCCAAGTAGACTCACTTTTTGAGCTGCAGCTCATGCTGACACGAGGTATTTCTGTGAGTGATTAACCCGTAATCAGCTGTTTGTGTTTTCTCCCTCGAGGGCTCTCTCACAAGTCTCACACGCTGTCTTTGCCAAAATTTTGGTAACGTATCCAACCATGTGCCAGCTCCTTTCCTCCTGTCAGCCAGGGAGGACCTGTGGGATAGTCAGGGTTGTAATTCCTGCTGCCAGTCATGACTAGAAGAGTAATTTCTTTTGAGCAGCGCTCCCCTGAAGCTGTCGTGCAAATGGCAGATAATCCATCCTCCAAAACTGCAGGGTACTACCAAATGCCTTGCTGTAATATTGTGCCTCGGTATTTTTTTTGTTAGTAGCACATGTTGAAATCCAGACAATCTCCTGCTGGTAGAACTCCAAACCAGCTTCCTAATTGCTTTGTCTTAGCTACATCAGAAAAAGCAGGTTCTAGATTAAGTTAATTTACTCATTTTACGTATGTTGTGGGTTGACCCTGGCCAGCAACTGAGCACCCACACAGCTGCTTACTTATTCCCTCCTGCATGGGGAGAGAGAAAGAACAGGAAGAGCAAAAGCAAAAGAACTTGTGGGTTGAGAAACAGTCAGTTTGAAGTTCAAAGACAGCATGAAGTTCGACCTATAATTTTGACTGTCCTTTGAGACAAACATTTTGAAGTCCAGACTCAAATACAATAGCTGTGTTCTCATACAGCTTGAATATGTTGCATTTTAAAAGATTTTGAAAATTAGTAATATGTTGAATTTTGTCATCTGGCGGCGTCCTTACAACTTCCACAACCCCAGTGAAGGTTGCTCTGCGACTGCTGGCTGAGGCTGGCCTTGCTGGGACAGAATCTTCCCAGATTTCATAACACAGACAGGGTCTGTCATGCAGGAAACATACCAGTAACCAAAGAACAAATCTAAAGAGCTACAAGAATTTCAGGTGATGTTTTTCTGAATAGTATCTTCCATGTGACTGAATGTTCTTGGGTGTCATTAAAGGGCCCTTTACTGATGTGGGCACTCTCTTTTGTATCATGCTAAAAAAGATCCTCAGTGATTGCTGAATTTTGCTACCCAAAGCATCAAAATTTAGCCATGCTCCACTTTTGGTTATTCTTACTTTACTACCTAGCCCTATTGCTGTAATTTTGACAGATATATTATCATCATCAATATTATTATTAATAATAATAATCTTACAATAATGTGTTGTCCTTCTGTATCCTACAAAAGAATTCCTAACATATGTAAAATATATGTTTACACATGTATGTATTGTGGTTTAACTTCCAAAATACGTAACACATGTAAGGCACTTGCTATGATAATATCTTGAGAGAAATGTGTTTTCATCCAAAACACTAACTGATACAACAACCAAGCTTTAAGCTTCTGTCTACTATTCCAATACAGGTTGTTGTATTTAAAAAACATCTTTATTGGTAAGTAGGCAATGAACTTCAAAATTTCTATTAATTTCTTTAAATCTGGTTAGCAACATCAATGAAGTTCCTTTAAAACCATTTAAATAGAAGCAATAACTTGGAAATTTAAAGTTTGTGCTTTGGTTTCTAATGTTTGAAATTAGAAGCCAGGTACTCATAAAGAGAAAGAAGGTTTTGCAGATATCAACCAATAGAAACAAATTCAGCAACATGGAGGATTGCACTAAACAAGCACATTACATATCTTATTAATTTAAATTTACTAAATCACTTTACATGTGTATTTTATGGTAGTTGTCTGACAATATCCTGTCTGATCTGACAAAATTCTCACTTGTGTGAAGGCACAGTATTCTGAGGAGACTGACCGAGAGTGTTTCTGGTTTTACAGCTACTGAATCCTGAAGATGACCTCTTGCCAGGAAAGATTCGGGACAGTAACCGTTCAACTCTCCTAGCTACAATCCAAGAGCATGGCTACCCAACGATCAACTTGGGAATTGTGGGAGATAAGTAAGTACCACATGTTAGTAAAGATGTCACTTCATATTCATGCGGTGCACTTTATGGCATCCATGGAAAAAAAGAAATACCAGAGAAAATGTCACTCAGTGCAAGTGTCACAGTGTTGTGACAGGGCATATCTTGGAGAAGATATTTTACCCTTTTCATTAGAAAAATCAGTAAGTCTAGTCTAATATTAAGAGGAATCATTTGATAAAAATTTTATTGAATGGCATTTATCTTGATTTACTTTCTGTTTGTTGAAACATGTAATACTGCTGCAAATTGAATTTATTGCTGCAGTATCATCACAAGCACTGTATTTAATACATGTAAGAGGAGACAATTCTACAGCAACTGTACTTTTTTCTGACCCAATAAAGGGAGAAGTTTCTCTCAGAGTTTATTTTCCATGCCAAAGTTAATTTAGAATATAGAATTTTGTCAGATTCTAAGTATTAGTCTTTTGGGGAAGACCTCACTGCTAGATATTGCTCAATATTTCCAGAAATATGACAAAGAATTTAAAAGAATCAATTTATATTTTTTTCCGATACTGGTCTCTCTATTTGATTGCCACAGAGTAGTACCCTATGATCAGTCTTTCTGTTCATCTGACAGTGATTGCTTCTTGTTTCCCAGTGGTAGTGAAGTCATGTCTCCTGTTGAGAGCTCTAGGATAAGTGATTGAAGGGTTCGGTCTTTTGTCCTTTGCAAGACGGGGCAGTGCCTGTCATCCATGGCCTGAGTTTCTCAGCGTAACAGATTTCCCCAGCTTATTGAGCTCCAAAGGCTTTGAACAGGCTTTCTTGTTTCTCATTTTGGGTATCAAACCATCTGGCAGACTTGGTTTGATAGGGAGTTGTTTAGGTTCACCTCAGCCTGTTTGAGAAAAAGGGTATTCCTCATGGGTAGGTAAAAGTGAGGCCAGATAAAAAGAGAAAAAAAAAAGGAAATAGTGGATTTCAGCACCCACATTTCACACAGATTGATGACAAAATTCCCAAGCAGGGAGACAAGGTAATTGCTAGGGAATAGCTCATTTCAAAACCCCTCTTCCCTAGTGCAGGATTCAATACAAAATATCACTAGATTGACAGAAAGTGTATGGATGGGCCAACCACTGCGTGGTTTTATGATCTGTGAACCAACTTGAACAGTGGCTCCAGGAAATGCAGTTGTATTTGAAGTACTCGTGCAGGGAATGTGACACGCAGCAACCACAGTGGTTGTTGTGATCTTCTGGGTACTCTCTCTGCATCCAGGCACCCTTTTTGCTTCTCTGGCCTGGTGAAATTCCAATGGTGTTCCAAATAGCAATAAATATCAAAAACCTCCTGCACTTGAATGCTTCCAGTTTCACATGGAGATTTCATGCAGAGTCTAAACTCATGAGACTGTTCTTTCCAGGAATGGTATCTAAATGTCCAGGATCTCTAGAATGTTTTCTATATTATGAGGGCCTTTTTAGACTTTAAAAATCGGGTAGCAAAGTTCTCAAATAAAACTATTATATCCAGAGATCAGGTCCTAGATTTATGTATCTGAGAAAAAAGAAAACATCCACAAAAAGGCTGTCAGCTCCTCAAAGCCATCTCTATATAAAAGAAGGGTTGGCAGGGTTTTTCTCCAACAAAATATTGGGGTGCAACTTTTTGCCACCTGCATGACTGAAAGTTACTGCTACTGTCATCAGCATTGCCTACAACATCAACCTACACACTGTCATTTTCAGTGGGTTAATCCAGTGGAAAAGATCCTTTCCCTGAACATCTTTCTGGTAGCTCCTCTGGCAGAATAAGAGTATAAAGCTTGTTTGTACTTTATGGCGTTGTTCTAACCAAACAGGTATAGTCTCAAATTTGCTTTAAAGTCAACACCATCAAACGGTAACTTAAGGTCATTGTGCAAAACTATAACTATGTAGTCCATTGCCTTCAGCAATTTCTCCTGTGACCTCCTATGGATGGAGTATCTGTGAGGATAATTAATCTTGAAAGCTCTCAGTAATAAATAGTAGACAATTTTAGAATCACAGAATCATTTAGTTTGGAAAAGACCCTTAAGATCATCGAGTCTAACTGTAAACCTAACACTGCCAAGTCCACCACTAGACCATGTTCCTAAGCACCATGTCTACACCTCCTTTAAATACCTCCAGGGATGGTGACTCAGTCACTTCCCTGGGCCGCTTGTTCCAATCCTTGACACCCATTTCAGTGAAGAAATTTGTCCTGATCTCCATTCTAAATCCCTGGCACAACTTGAGGCCATTTCCTCTCGTCCTGTCACTTGTTACTTGTGAAAAGAAACCAACCCCTGCCTTGCTACAGCCTCCTTTCAGGTAGTTGTAGAGCAATAAAGTCCCTCAGCCTCCTTTTCTCCAGACTGAACAACCCAGGTTCCCTGAGATGCTTCTCACAAGACTTGCGGTCCAGACCCTTCACCTTCATTGCCCTTCTCTGGACACACTCCAGCAGCTCAGTGTCTTTCTGGTGAGGCTTAAGGCCTAAGAGAATTTTTTTACTTTTCTACGTTTTACTTTTCTATATTTTTTACAAATATGTTTTGTGACCCTTTTTCTCTTGTTGGATGCTAGCTGAGAACCAGACAGCACACACATATATCAGTCAAAGGCGACAAGTGTCTGAAGCTTTCAGTTATAAGAGATTGATACTTTTGGATCCTCGCTATTAAAATGATCTCTGTGTCTTGAGATAGCATTACCTTGGCAAAGGAAATAGGAGTTCTTTTTTAACTTTCGGTTTCATGCTTGGGGAGTCACTTCTGCAGTGGTAGTTACTTTAGCTCATAGAACAGAAATAATGACCCTCCAATTGTGGAGTGATTTTGTACTTTACAGTAAGTTTTGAAAGAATAATTCAGTACGGTTGACTTAGCAAGAATCTTCCCCACCTGATACCAGGATTCTGTCTTAGCGAGTCTTCTGCCAGTCTTCTTACACTCACATGCCCAACCTATGTATTTACAACAAAATGCATCTGCAGTTCTGTTTCAGTCAAAGGGGAAATCAGATTATGTAAATTAGTTTGATAATAGGTACGGTATTATTTAATTATGTAATAAAGCTACTAAGAGAATTTTGCCATGCAGATATTTCAGTATACATCTTTCAAACGAACATGACTGATTTGATGGAATACCATGGCACTTGAACAAATGCAAAACTTAAAAGATATATCTTACAAAGGGTACAATTTTGACATTTTAGTTAAAATGTTTATAGAAAAGATGAACCACCCTTCAGTGTCTGTTATATGGTTTACTAGAGTTAAACCATAGATTTTGTGTGTTTGTTTGTGCTCATGTATATGTGCAGTTTATTTTGTGTCTATAATATGTATCTAGACAGTGAAAAAGGGAAAGATTTTATATGCCTGCAGTACCTACGCATGTAATAAAAATACTTGCAAACAATACTCTTCAGAATAGAGAATTAAAAACTTGTAATTTTTTCTTTGAAGGCATCATTGTAATGTATTTCTCCTTCCTGTGTTTCGTATTTAGGGTTTGTATTCTTTTTTTTTTCCTATTTCTTTTTGTTTATACATTTTACATTGAGTAAATTTTTGCTCCATTTTACTGGGACTGTCACTTGCTGTATACCAGAAGCACTGAATGGAGTTTCAGGGAGCAGCTAATAGGGAGCTCAGCTGAGGATCACTGCTGCTGTAGCGAGTCATGCTTTTTTAACAAGCATGGAAATGCTGGCAGTCATATATACAGCTAATATTCAGGCATGAGAATTGTTTTAGAGTAATATTTGCAAAGACAAACTTAGAGGTAAGTATTCCTATATTTCATTTCAGCACGTGGATCACTCAGGGGTGTTTAGGTAAGAAAATAGCTTGTCCAGCTGCTTCAAAGCCCAGGACTGTGATACACGTAAACACATTCCAGCAGAGAATGTGAACGGATGGGGAAGCACGTGGAAAGTCTGTGGGTGTCTGCAGAGTAGTAGCAGGCACTTTGAAAATGCCTTTGCATATTGATCATCCATGAAGTTACATTTTGAACTGGACACTCAAGTCTCACTTAGCCTATATTTGTATTTTATTTCTTTTTGGAGCATTTTAACAATTTCTGAGATTGTCATTGTTTGTTTCTATCTTCATAAATTGTATATATGACTCCATATTCAAATGAAAGACAGCAAGTCCAAAACACATAGATAAAGTCAACAGTTAAAATCCTAGAAGCAAGCAAGCAATAGGAGAAAAGAACAAATCTGGAAAACGTGATACAGCTGAAGTTATGTCTGGCTAGAAACCAAGATTTTCTCTCTTTGTGTTCTTAGTATGTAAAAATCAACCTGTTTGAAAAGCACGATTCTCTGGGTAAAAAGGGAAGATATCCCATTTCCAGAACTACTCCAAACATGAGAAACAAATGCAAAACAAAAAAAAAAAAAAAGGAAGAACCCTTCTGTTGTTTTTTGATTTTCTCTCTTTGTGTTCTTAGTATGTAAAAATCAACCTGTTTGAAAAGCACGATTCTCTGGGTAAAAAGGGAAGATATCCCATTTCCAGAACTACTCCAAACATGAGAAACAAATGCAAAACAAAAAAAAAAAAAAAGGAAGAACCCTTCTGATGTTGTTCTTTTGTTGTGTCTTACATCTTTGTCTGAATCACAGAATCACTTGCTAAAAAGTTGCAAAAACACTGGCCAGTTAAAACTGGTATTCCAATGTACTTTTGAGTGTTGTCTCATACAATAAGACCACATTTAAAAGGCTTTTAATTTCATTTCCTTTGTTTATAATCTGTGAAATTATTTGGTTCTTTGGAAACCATTGATAAAAACAAGAGTTACATCTCTGATCTTATCTGTAGAACTCTATTAATTTAGTTATCAGGATATTGTTCTGTCTGATTTTCATTTGTGTTGTTCTTTGTATCCAGTGTTTATTTAAGGCTGTAAAATTTAGCCCTAGGAAAATGTGCTATAACTTGGGCCTCTGTTTTAGAAAGCCATCTTCCATTTTG